GTTAGTTTAACTTTCAGATCAGATTTAACTTCTAACTCTTGGAACGACCGCCAAAGGGGTGTTTGTATTACGTACCGCCCGTACGAATGAAAAGTACAGCAGTTGCAAGAAGGACTGGTATTATAAATTAGCAGTGATTTTTGCTAGTCAAAATGCCTTGTGCAGTAGAGTGAAAAGACGATCAAATTTTGACTTCAAATTAGAAAAGTTTCAAGAAGATTTTAAACAAGAAAGTTTTCGAATTTGATTTGCTTTTGTTCGTAAAGCGCAGGAATTAAAAATCACCTACCTATTTCCGTTCAGTAGGTAATGAGGCAGTCAACGTATCTGTTAGTATCCGTCTGGCTGTATACATTTTTCTTCAAAATATATATTGTTTTTCGTTTTACCTCAAAACAACCACTACAGCCTGTTTCATCCGTATAGGAATCATGGCCGCATAGGAATCATGGGAATCAGGATCAGTATAGGAATCATGACCACCTGATGATTCCTATACGGATGAAACAGACTGTTGTGGTTGTTTTGAGGTAAAACGGAAAACTATATTACGCTCTATCTACATGGTATTGAGCACAGTTTGTGTTTCGTAAACCAAACACTTAGGCTATATATATATATATATATATATATATATATATATATATATATATATATATATATATATATATATATATATATATATATATATATATATATGTTATATATATATATATATATATATATATATATATATATATATATATATATATATATATATATATATATATATATATATATATATATATATATAACAAGTAAAGCTTTTAAAGAGAAATAACTTGCATCAAATAGAGGAAGGGCTAACTTAGATTTTGATATATTACAGTTGTATTTCACTTAAAAATTCACGGAGATATTAATTTTTAAAATCGGGAGCATATTTCTGGGTGTGTCTGAAATATGCAAAAAACGGCATATCAAATATTAATCAAGATTTGCCCGACTGAAACATGCACTATTACCAGTAAATAAATGACACTTGACAAATTGTTTATTATGAAACAAAGTATTATCATCTACAAAATACAAGCAAGATTTATTCGTCCGAAATCCGCGTGTGTTCCTAGCACGAATACGTTTCCTTATTTCATGAGACCACTGCATCGCGAAGGATCGTCATGGATCGTTCGTAGTTCTGAATTAAGGCACGCTGTCACATTGGAATTGTAAATTTTCTAACTTCACATTGAATGAATTTTCTAACTTCTGCAACGTTCTGAAATCTTGTTAAGAACACCCAAACTCTTTTGCCTTTCTTAATCTTGGCAAGTTCAGAATAAACTGAGAATGAAACAAAATCAAACCAGGTATACAACTCCATAAGTAAAGACATAACAAGCAACTCCCCAGAGACGTCCAACATTTTTGGAACAAAACGTAACAAAATAGAAGCGTTGATACTGTGATGTGTATTTGCAAAAAGCAATATTATTTCCTTCGATTCATTAAAGAATAATATTCATCCTGCTCTAACCGAAAAATAATCAACTTTGTTTTGAACCCATAAAAAACATATAAAAATTAGGCCATTCAAGAAAAATTTAAGCGCCTGCCTTGCATGGTCTTTCATGTACATTTAAGTTTGCAAAGACCTATTAAATACTTGCATAATTTCGAAAGTTCATATTTCAGGAAACAATGAGTTAAGACTTACATATATGTACGATGTCTAAATCTACGCCATATCTCTTACAAATCCAAACGACAATTCGCTGAAATACAAGTTACCCTGATATGTCATTAAGCAAACAAACGCTGGAGTTAAAATTTGATACGCAGATTTTCGCTAATTTTAGACACATCCCAAAATATGCTCCCGATTTTGAACATTAATATCTCCGTGAATTTTTAAGTAAAATACAACTGTAATATATCAAAATATAAGTTAGTCCTTCCTCTATTTAATGCAAGTTATTTCTGTTTGATAGCTTTACTTGTTTAGAAGTTATTATAAATCAAACCGGAGTACTTTTTTTTGGGACACCCGGTATATATATATATATATATATATATATATATATATATATATATATATATATATATATATATATATATATATATATATATATATATATATATATATATATATATATATATATATATATATGTCGGTTGGTTTATTTTAAACCAGAAAAAGGACTTCTTCAGGCAAATTGTGAGATTATTTATTAAATTCCTCAGACGTTTCGCCGGTTAAGGCTTCATCAGTGAGTACAATAATCTGAATAATAAAATCGTCCTCTATATATACATGCATTTATCGCTTGATTGAGAATGTAAAACCTAAAGAATTAAAAATGTTAATTTGAGTTCTAAGTTAAAAATTTTAAAATTAAGTTAAAAGAGTGATTGTTATTATATTGTTGATTGTACCATAGGATATATTAGAAGCCTGGTTGTTCCAATTAGTCAAACTAGATATTGATATTACGTCCAGCACAACCATTCATAATTCTGTCCGAATAATTCCGAATCTCAAGTGCTTCGATCACTTCACGCTCATACCGGTATTTGAATGGAGGATTTTCCAACTTATTGTTGACTCGCTTTGTGGGTCAATATTGTGAGTTCTAAGGTGTACATGAACTGTTTGTTTGTCCATTCGGAGATGTTCCTTTATCCGCGATCGTATTGTTCTTCCGATTTCTCCCACATAGACCAGATGACAATGTAAACAATTAATAAGGTAGATAGCATTCTTAGCCTTGCATAAATTAGTTTTAATTGCTAGTTTACAAGTATCACATTTATCGGGGCAACTTAGCTTCTCTTTACGTGGAGCAAATATTTTTGATAGGGATGGTCCATTTACAAACTGTAATGTATTCCCTATGACCAAAAATCTAGACCAGCAACTTACAACACTGACTAGTTCTCTGGAAAACAAAAGACAACATAAGATAAATATCCTGCTGAAACAACAATCTAAAGATAACAGACAATCCAAATTGGTTAGACCAGAGGGTTTTAAAAATTTGTCCGCTACAACGATAGACGCCAACTTAAGCGACATTCTTAACAAGTGTCCTTCGTTTGTGAATGCTGATCCTAAACATCTTCCTAAAACATGTCTACAAGCAAGAGCAAACCTTCAGATGGTAGCAGACAAACTTGAAGATCAAGAGGTTCTTGAAAGTACAATTAACGAATTCAAAGGAGGTATAGCACGACTCATTGACACATGTGAATGAACGGGTAAGGGTGTACTTAAAGCAAGACAATTACAGTATAATCTACCATCAGAAGAGGTAACTATAATTGAAACGGATAAATCTAAACGATTAGTGGCATTAGACGCGCATACATACATTGATATGGTTAACAAATCAACAATAGAATCGGGCAATTGCCAACCAGTTAAGAAATTAAACCAACCTAGGACAGAACAGATCAATTTCAATAAGCAACTTAATATAATTATCAAGAAATACGAACATGAATATCCAACACTACATAAAAACCTGAGACAGAATATTTGTAGTGACCCGCTACCTTGTCCGGTATATTGTTTACCTAAGGACCACAAGGATGGTGAATTGAAAGGTAGACCAATTCATGCAGCCACCGACACGCCGGCCACTTCACTCTCTAAATACTTAACTAAATCTCTTAACCCTCTACTCAAACATGTACCGGCACATTTGAAGAACACTGAGGATTTCATTGAGTTTTTATTGGAAATTGACGGTGACATTCAGGGCTTTTGCATCGTCTCGACGTATGCAATCTATATGGGTCCATACCCCTCGAAGACATTAACAACATTACTCCCGGTGTTTTCACCGTGGTGAAACGTTTTTTCTTAAAATATAAAACGGGATGTGAATTATCACCACTGAGCGGCAAGGATTTCGAGGCATTGGTACGTCTATGACTGACTGTAGTGATACTGTTTTAATTAATATGGCAAAGGTTATATAAACAAAAATCGGGATTAGCGATGGGGAACAATCTTGCTCCGATGTTGGCAATTATCTATATGAACGAGTTGGATAAACAAACAATAGAATCCTGTAATGGTTCTCTTTTCTTACGACGATTAATCGATGATATATTTATTG